CTATAATGGTCGATCGGACCTTTTCAGTTCCAGCTGAGGTAATTCAGATCAAACTGTTTGCAGCTTGAAGCAGCATCGTTGTCTTCATGGACATTTAAGTCCAGCTTTGTCAAAAAATAAGGCAGGCTATTAACTGTTTGATCCTCTTTTCTGCCATTGTTGTTGGGGTGCCCTTTTTCTCCTTGTAGTCCTACACTGATCGATAAATCACCGGTGCAACGGCCTGTTTTGATGTCGTTGAACAATTTCAGCTCGGTTTGCGGTAGCAACAGATCTTCCGGTAACGAGCTGCTGTTGTATATTCTTAAGCAAATCCCATTGTTGTGTATTTCTTGCTCTTTCTGAGACACATCACATGATGCCAAGCAACTGTCCATTGAACAATCAGTAGGTGGAGCTGCTTGTGTTAGACCCTGCTGGGGGCATAAGCCTTGCAAGTCTTTCAAATCCGAAAATGCCGAATTCAGGCATTGGTTGGACACTTTTGACACCAATTCAGATAGCTGATTTTTGGCTGCTTCGAGTCCCATGTTACCCGAATTTTGTCGTCCGAGTGTCTCTTGAGCTTTCTCAAGCACTGACTGTAAGTATTTCCCTTGAGCCTCGATACGAAGCTGCAACTGTCGCTGCACCTGGTTCCATATCGAGCTTATCAAACCGTGGCATAACTAAAACACCTAAAAAATATCATTTCCAAAGGATTTTTAGCATATTATGTACCTCAAGCTGTTCATGCAACCTTCTCTGCACCTCGATTTGCATTTGCAGTGCTTCACCGATTTGTAAGCCTCTGCAGTTCATGAACACCAAAATCAATACATAAAAGAACAGATGAATGAATGCAGAATCTCTATATGAAGGCTCATTGATCATCTTACTTGTTTGTTCGAGGTCCAATACTCAAGTTATTCATGTGATTTCCATTTGCCTCAGACATTCTATCTCCGGCCGTTGCAACCACGCCTATAGCAATAGAGTTAATATTTTCGATCATCGAAAATGAAAACTCTCAACTGGAAAATTAATCACTCTCATCTTACCTATCTTGTTACTGCCATTATTAGCTTGTCCATGGAGATTTTTACTGAGTCTATATTTCTGCAGCCAGAAGAAGGGATCTAATTAGCCCTTGTAAAACATAAAGTAATTCGATTGTACCGTATTCACGATGTCGATAAATTACCTGAAGATGACTCTTGAGATGGTATAAAGTAAGGCCAGGAATCCCCATTAGTTTCATTACTGTTTTAGGAGTAGCCTCTGCAACATAAGGGGAGAAGGTACAGTCATATGTATTAGCCTAAGGCAATTTATGCATGGATTTGTTCGAATTTCGTGTACTCACTATCAGCACCTCCAAGCTGATTGACGGCATCGATGAACCGCTCGTGAAGATCAGACGTCCACTTAAGTCTCGGCTTGGCATCGGTCGATAGAACAAGACCAGAATCTCCCGGGCCATTCCCTCCTTGCAGGAACAAATGTCTCTCAGGGTGCATGCTCTTCCCTTGATGTTGGTACATATTTTCTGTATCCAAAAAGTATTCAAACATGTAAGTTAATCCTTCTTGTTGAACCAACAGAACTAAATAACCATGCTCGGTACACGTCTTTGTTTTTATACCTGATCCAGCCGCTCCGATCTCTATTCTTCTATAATCAATCTTACCCCGACGACTTTTCTGCAGGCTACTCCGGTTCCCACAAGGCAAAGATGACCCCAAGAAGGGCTTTTATAAAGCAGCAAAAGGGAGGCAAATGAGTAGTATTTCTTTGAGAAGGCGTAGAATCTGGGGCACATCACACAACTAATGGAACAACCTGACCGAATCCAAGACAGTGCAAAGCACAAATACGCATACACATATATGTATATGTATGTAAGTATATATGACGGTAATTCGTATTCGTCCTTACTGGCAAAGAATCATATTCCAAGATATGAGTTAGGGGAATCCACTAAGTAGTGTTGGATAGCTTCAGAAAAGGCTCAACCAGCTCCATGGACTGAGTTTCAAAGGAAGATTCTTAAACTCTTATACCTTTATTCTTCACCTTGTTGTCAATGCATGCATGACAATGAAGTAATGAGAATGCAAATTAGGGTTTTTTGTCTCACAATGTTATGCAGATGGAGACATAAACGAAGTTTTTAACTGGTTTTTTATTTGAGGAATTTAGGGGACCGGAAAGATTCTTTTGACCGGTTCATCTAGAAGCCTTGTGTTTAGATACATACGAAGGGAAATAAATTAATAAACAATGAACAACGGGGAAGATAAAGGAAGATGCTTTCTCTTGGAGATTGTTTTGAGGGCAAGGAATGGAATATTGGAACACATTCCCTTTTGTTTCCTCCAGTAAGTTTAGTACTTATTCAGCCTTTTACAACTCCTTTTAAAATTATATCTTATATCGAACTTATTCAGTGACCTTAGTGATAAAAAGAAATGCAACTGTATCTATAGGGGTGTATTAAAAAATATATCGTATCGGATAGATATTCGTATTTGGTAATCATGTTCGAAAGAAGGGATCCAATAGGCAGAAGACAGCCGGCAGTCTTAACGTTCGAATCATAAGCGATGTTGGGGACACTATGAAAAGAAAGGCAATTATTTAAAGAAGGTAATTGTACTTGCTTGAGTTTTGTTGAAATAAATACTGATAATTCCATGGCCTTACGGATGACAACTTGCCCCTTGACTTTGTGCCTTTTGTGCCCTTTCCATGATTCTCTTGTCTGAATCTATACGCTCTTCTTTCTCTATTTGATCAACTTTCAAGGCCGGCTAGGATTAACAGTAAGAAATGGAAAGATGTTCACTGAGGAGTTAATCTCTGTCATCTATTTTCACTCATCCAACTGTCCTAAATCTGTATAAAACCAAGATAATTTTACATTATGTAAGCAAATTCTAACTTATACATGTGTGTGTCAATTGCTTAAATGAATGTATCTAAGAACTCATGCACGCTCATCCTTTCTCCCTCCTTCCTGCATGAACCAGCACGTAGAAATTATGGGGACTATGTGTGATCATGCAGGCCAAGAAAGTTTCGTTATTTTTTTTGAAGTACTCGTATTCGACACTCGTATTTAATGCGTATCGATATGGAAAGACTCTTCTAGAATTAAAAAACCTTGGGGAAAAAATTGAACATACTTGTATCTGAAACCAACACTCGAATTCGAATAACATAGCGAGCTGCTGTTGGGAACGGCAAGTTCTTGATTTATGATGTGGTACTGCTAAAGCTATAGTATGGCACTGAGGGGGATCGATCCAACCTTTGACAATAATAACTAGGAATTATACTATTACGTATTTAAATATACAAAAATTAAACAAAATGAAGAATAATGCCTTCATGATCAAGAGTTAATGCAGAATAAATTCCTAATATTAAGTTATCAAGTGCCAAATCTGTGTCAAATCATATAAACCAAGGAACAAAAAATTGTTGATGAATATATATATATTAGAAGCAGAATTTGTTCGCATCATGTACATTTTTTTTTAGTTTTATATGTTTTTTAAGATTATTAGATGGTTGAAAATATACGGTTGAAATTAACAGTAAAAAATAATATCATTAGTCTATTTTCACTTATTCAACTATTCTTTTTTTTATTAAATCGAGGTGAGTAAAAGGTAACATTTGTTCTAAAGATTTTGAACTATTTGACAATAAAAGTTCAAATATCTATGCATACGTTGGTATTCGAACCCGAAACTTTTAGGAATAACAACTATCTTTTTAACTACTAAGGTAACTTAGTTCGTACAATAGTCCAACAATTTTAAAAGTGTATAAAAATGAAAAGTTATATATATGGTGCAGTTTGGGAGGATCTAATATCAATGCCTTGTGCCTTTTCACAAAAGTATTAAAGAAGAATCCCTAAATAGTTTGCTGGCATGTGGGATTGGAATATTTTGCACGAGAGGCTTTGCTTCGAGGGGTGGCAATGGGCAGTGTAAACGGTTTTGCATTATCCAATCTGTTTCCAACACTTGTGGGTACGGTTTTTGAAAATCTCTATTATATGTTTCGTGAAATTTTTTGTCCCCATGCTAATCTCTTACGGATTCCTGCGAGTTTCGGTTAATTTCGTCCCAAAAAATAAAGAAACATTTTTTAAATCAATGCAACACCTAAAACTTGTAAGATATATCAGATTGTCTCAAATTAGTGTCTATCTATAATATGAAAGTTTCAAATGTCAATATTCATCTAACATCCGATATATATGTACATCTTAATCATTTTCAATCTCAACAAATCAATGTATATTAAATGAGAAAATATCTAAACTTCAATTTTAGTTCTTTTGAGATGTAACAGTGTCAACACGTATGAAGACACTAATTTTTTCTCTTATTTGCTTATATTATTATTATTATTATTATGTTATATTATTATTATTAAATAATTAATTAATACATTGCAGGCCCAGAGGCCCATTTACAGAACCAACAATAACCGGCCCAGTTACAACAGCCCAATGGAAACCCTAAACCCAACTAGGGTTTCAACATCTTCATCCACCCGCCTCTCTCTTTCCACCGTTGGATCTGATTTGATCCAACAGCCCAGATGGCTGCAGAAAAAACCCTAGGGTATTATCACCCTAGGGCCACGCGGCCGTCGTTGCTTTTGCCGCCACTTCACTCCGTTTCAGCTGCTGCCACGACGTCCACCAAAGGCTTCCAGAAGAGCCCTTCCAGCCGCACACGTCGCTCTACAGTGAGTCACCACTGGAAGTCTGGTGACTCACTAAACAACCACCTTATTAACTGGTCCGAGAGCCACACCGTCGATGGCTCTAAAAGCCATCGACCACCTGTAAACAAAAAATCGAACAGCCACAGAGAAGAAAAAAAAGCAATCCAACAATCACAAATCACCAAAACAACAAGGAAAAGAGAGAAGAGAAACTTACCGAGGGAACATCGGTCATCAGAGACTCTTTGTGCTGTCGGAAAGCCAAAGGTCGAAGGTAAAAAAATTAGATCTACGCATTTCAGTAGTATTTTAGGCTAAAAAACCTCCGGATTTAGCTTTAGGGGAAACCAGGCCTTTATTTGGGGTGGGTTTTGTAATTTCCGGCCACCGACGATGGATTTGGTAGTGGCCGACCGGAGATCGTTTCCCTCCGGTGAGGGAAATTAAGAGAGAAGGGAGAGAGCTCTTCTTCTCTCATTTTTGAGAGAGAAGAAGAAGAGAAGAAATGAGGATGCTGGCCCTTCGGGCCAGCCGTTTGGGGAAATATATACCCCTTCCCAAACGGTGTCGTTTCGGGTGGGGGTATATGTGTAATTTACATACGTGGACAAACCTCGTCCGCAGTCCCTCAGATTTGTAATTTTATAATTTAGTCACTAAATCAATTTATGATCATTTTAATCCGGTTTAATAATTTTAATTTTATTTATTTTAGTCATTTGCATAATATTGAATATTTTAGGGAAAATAACATGTTTAGTCATCTAATTTTATTAATTAATATTTTAACCCCTAATCGCATGTTTTAATTTGTTTTAATTTGATGTACGAATTTGACATAATATTATTTTAGTCACTAAATTAATAAAAGGGTAGAATAACATGTTTAGCCACTAAAATTTCAAGTAATTAATTACAAATTATGACGTTTATTTCTGATATATTTTAATTTAGTCATTAGCTTTAAAATTTTTAGTTTTTTATATTTTTATATAGTTTTAATTTTCATTTATTTTAGTAGTTGATTTAATTTGCAATATATATTTATTATTAATATATGTATATAGTAAATAATATTTATTTATATTTATAAAATTATTTTTATAAAATAAAAATATAATAATAATCCTATTTTAATAACATTAATGAAAAGGACTGTCTTAAAAAACCTAGAAGTCCGTTTTCTGATATTTTTTTATAAAATATATTAATTTTTAAAGAAATATTTTATTTATATTTATTTATTTTTTAATATCGAAGAAAAGAGCTGTCTTAAAGCACCTAGAAGTTCTTTTCTGATATTTCTAAATAAATAAATATCTTATTTATATAAAAATTAATAAAATTTCTTATAATTATACCAGTAAATTTGAAATGACATAATTATAGATTAAATATATTTTTGAATATTTAAATTTATAATAATAGAGACAAATTATAATTAATGAGTACCAAATTTTGGGCGTTATAGGGGTGCTAATCCTTCCCTAAACGTAATCGATCACGAATCATTTTTATTAAAATTTTTTGGTTATATGCAGATCAATTTTATCTTTTAAATTATGTTTTATTCAAAACTATTTTAAAATATTGTTTTTAGGTATTTGACCTACCTGACCCAAAAGGTCAATGGCGACTCCCAAAATATTTTTTACAAAATCATTTATTTATTTCGTGTTGTTTTTCCCGCCAAGTTAAAAATTTCGTGCCCGGGCGAAAACCGGTTACGGTAGCTTGGCGACTCTACTGGGGACTGGTCAAGCTTTTAAAATCAATTATAAATTGTCTCTATTAATTATAAATTAAAAATTCATATATTTAATTTATAATTCTTTCTTTTCAAAATTTTTATATATACTTATTATTTTCATAATATTTATATATATTATTTTATTAATATTTCATTTTATTTGCAAGTATTTTATTTCATTATTTATTTTTCTGTCAGAGGTTTGAACATTTCTCCTCACACACAACACTTGCATTGCATAACATAAAGCTCTATAATTGAGTTTTGTCCCTTTTAAGTGGGAGTGAAAGCGACGTCTTCGTGAGAATTTATTCTCCGTGTCAGACCTAGCAAGT